GTGTTCACACATTGATGCTGTACCCTGTGGGCACGATGACTGGAGGTAGCGTCAGTTGCTCCACCAGTAACATTGGCAGTAACCTCCCGGCCCCTCCATCGGGCGCTTTTTAAGGTACATTTCACAGCAGATGGAATCATTTCCGTGTTTAAGGTGCGCAGAACAGCAACTGTATAGGTGTACCACTTTGGCAACTCAAAAGCGAGAAGGGAAACAGAAGTGCCAGAGGCTGTGACGCATACAAGTCTCCGCCCACTGACCCTATGTCTACAACAGTACTGCTTAGTGGTGCGTTCTCGCTCATCCGTATACTCTCTCGCCATTTCTCCACCGAACTTCTCTTTCGCGCACTCAGTCTTTTTGCCAAATGAATGAATACAGACGAATGTTCGTGAAAATCAACTAGAAAACGAGTAGCCTTATTAAGAGAATGTTCCACAGTTTCTTTTGCTTTTTGTCAGGTGACTGTCTAGTCGTTTTACACCTACAATCTCATATTTGACCCAAACTACCCAAATTAGATGTGTCTTCGTTGTACGGTACCGAAACCTTCAAACGAAGGTTAAGATTAAGGGCAGACCCCTCCGTTCCATATCGTGGGTAGTGGCGTTCAGTTACGGACCCTCTAGTTGCTGTATGACTCTCCACAGAGGAAAGAAGCAAAAAATCATGAAGAACACCCTAGGTGAGGACCTGGCAGCCTACCTGGGCGAGTTCCCCGGACCCGCTCGTTCCATGCCAACGATGCAGTCTTCTGCTGCGCTCACTAGTTGTTTGCTAGCGTACTAGGAGTTGAACACCTTCATCGGGAGACGGACAAGAGAATCGTAATTTGTCGTTCCGCCGCGGGCGACGATGGGCGCGGCATTTCCTTAACTTGTGTAAACCTATCGATTGAAGCAGGGGAGGCTAATGCCGTTTGGACTCCAGAAATTTCGGCTTCGAGCTCATTTTAAAAGTGGCAAGATCACCAAATCCGCTAAAAACTTGTATATAGGGGTAATTCAACATCCTGATCACGAATATGACATTCATTTTTGGCGCTGGCGCTAATGGATGACACTACGGTTACCTGCGCTCTGCTAAGGCTGAGCCCAGGAGGTAATCGTAGTGTCCTCTCTTGGCGCCAGCGCCAAGAATGAGTGTCATACTCGTAATCAGGATGTTGAATTACCCCTATATACAAGTTTTTAGTGGATTTGGTGACTTAGGCAATTTGAAAATGAGCTCGGAGCCGAAATTTCTGGAGTCCAAACGGCATTAGCCAGCACCGGACTTCATGTAGACCCCGTCATCGTAGACATTCATAACTATTTTCATCTCTGAACTGCTTGTTGTCGCCATCTACTACCTGGAACCTTCGCCATTTGCGGGCGCGACCTCGCACACGACGCCCACCACAGCGCGGTCATTTACGATCTTCTTGTCACATACCCCCCTTTCATCAGTAAAAACAATGCACAATCAGATAGGGAGACGAAGCGCGTCATAGAATATAGCCCTCGAGTGCGTCTTTTGCAAAACTAGGACCTGGAAAACACGCTGACAAACAATTGCACCTTCATCGATGAGCTGAATATGCTGCTAATAAAAAAGCAATAATATAGAACAGATATTCTTACGAGCGGGAATGTGGTCGACAAAAATGATTTTGCAATTCGTATTTACGCCCGCCGCTCCACCAAACAACGACTGAGCGCCCTGCGTTAAGCGTAAAGAGGACGTTCCCGGGTAGGCGGTCCAACGGAGTGGATGCCCGGAAACGATCTTGAGCAGTAGACGGCTGACGGCTGCAGCACCCTTGTCACCACTATGGAGTCGCGAAAGCGGGACATCTCTGACTCAGCGGACTGGACTAATTGAGCAAGGAAGAACAAATACGAATTGGCTGAGCGTGGGGTGTGTCTCTAAGTTATAGAGTATGAAATAACCAAGGCAACAACTTCAGTAGAGAACAACTCTTTTATTCACAACTGTATCAACATAGAAAATAACAAGAACAACTGTTAGATCTATTTTTACATTTCCTTGGACTATTAGTTGACCCGTACACGGTCAGATTCCGGGGTAGGCTTACCAGTGATTTCATCGAAAAATGGGATGCCATGAAGGTAATCCAACATTCGTTGCTTCAAGGAAGGTTTGAGTTGCACATTTAGCAGCAGTTCCTTGGCGAAATCTGGGTCCGCGTCCAACGTGCCAAATATCCTGGATATAGCGTCCCTTCATTAGAAGAAATTCCCCTTTGAAAAAACTGAACTAGCCCTGGCAGTAGCTGGAAGCCTGATTCAAGAACCAGGATCAGAAACTGGTGGGAAGAGAATCTTCAAAATAAAAACTTGTAAGGAAAACAAATCACCGGTCTCGACCCCAGAGCACAGAATACGTTGAAACAGCGGCAACCAGCGCTTGGAACGGGATTAGCTTTATTAAGAGAGATCTAGCCGCTTTACTTCCTGAAAGAAATTCTTGGCACTGCTTTCAGCTGGGGTACGAAAAGTTAAAAATCAAACGGACACTTACCTTCCCAGCTAAGTGCGAGAAAATCAAGATAATTTGTAACGCTAGGGAGCTTCCGAATTTCTTGACGTTGTAACAGCTGCAAGTACTTTGGTGCAATGAATAAGGAACTTGAGGGAAAGGAAAAGATTTGAATAAAGACAGTAAAAATGAATAATGACAAAATAAATATACAAAAAACTGCGAGAAAGGACCAAAAACAGAAGCAGAACTACAGACGCGGATCCACACAACCGTATACACGTGGGTGGGGCCGCTAACTGGTGAGTGGGGTCACTGTGGCGGCCGACGGTTTCAGCGCTCTTGTCACTCACTTTTGAGCCGCAAAAGAGTTACACCCGATCGTGCAAAGGATTTCTTGGCACGAGGAAGTGATTGTAACCATCAGGTGATCGCGGAAAATGGCTTTAGCGACCCCGGTTGAAAAAAAGGTGAATGTGGAGGAAAGGCTGCGTTTGCAGATCGCAAGGGGGAAAAGGGGAATGGGCGACTTGACGCTTAGGTGAATGCGGGATAAAGGAAAGTGGTAGTATCGATCTAGTGACTTGGGAGAGTAAAATACCAGAAGGATCAGCGGTGTTCCGCAAGGAAAAAGGAGTCGACTGGTATCGATCGAATCTTCATCGATGATTAATCCACTCGTCATCGTCGCCAGCAATTCGTCGTTCAGGAAAAAGAGCGTTCTCCCAGAAAGTTGAATCGCCGATGCTCCCATTCTCCCAAGACGCCAGATCGATATTCATCCACTCCTTTGGCGCGCCTTTTCTCAAAACGTTTAATCGCCGTTTCTATCATTTTCTAGTCGACAGATCGGCGTGGATACTTTCTTCGGGCGTATATTCCCTCACAACATCGAATCGCCTAGCCGTCAAGCGTAAAGTATGAACGGAGCCAAAACTCGTCTTTACAAAGAATCACCAATAATCAGTACGTTATTACTAGTCTTTCACAGTCTGGGGTTACGGCTGAACCTCTTCTCACCTTGGAACTTCCCTTCCGAGGATGCACTACAAAGGATGTAACGACGAAAGAGAAGGAATCAGAAATCGCCATTACACGCGCCCTTCATTACGCCATCTTCCCCCCTCCGACACGAGTCACAAAACTGCTAATAGTTCATAGTATGCTACTTAGTACCGCACTTCGCGCTCCGAATGTTATCGTCAAGCTGAGTCACGAGCAAAGGACCCTGTTGGACACTAAAGCGTGGAAAGCAGGCTCTAGTACGTTACGGATAGCGCACTGGCCGGGAAGCGTGAGATGCGGGTTCGAGTCCAGCATGAGTTAACATTTTTGCTCATAAATAGCAAATATAATAGAATTATAAAAAATATCTAAGATATATAATATTAAAGCAAACGTACAATGTAATGACAGAGATATGGCGTTGTCAGGAGTGGGAGGACGAGACCAGTGCTGAGAGCAATCGCCACGTTTTTGCTCAATACACATGAACTGCATGGCTTATGTTCAGAGAAAACATCAGGCACAACCAGCATCTGAAAGGTTTGTGGATCTAATGACACAATATAACAAAATAGCAAATCAAAACGAAAACTGCATAAGAAAAAATAAAAGAAACTGTACTCAAGGGAAATACTACTATTAGGTTGTCCGGAAAGTTCTCAGCGTTTTGTGCACCTATTTTTGTACATTCACTGATTAAAAACTCATTCTGCCTTGCTTCTCAGTAGCACATCCTGTAGAGAATTTCTTGCGCTATCTGATGGTATAATTGCCGTTTCACCATTGCTTGATAAACCCCTTTTTTCAAGATTTTTTCAAGCATGTGAAAAGAGCACTTCGGACGATTTTTTTCTTCGACTATAAATTGGGGCAATCCGCAATCGAAACAGCTCAACAAATTAACCAGGTGTGGGTAGTGCTAGAGAAAGCACTGTGCGGCAATGGCTCAACAAATTTCGTTCTGGAGATTTCAGCCTTGAAGATGAACCTCATAGCGGTCGACCTAAAGCAATATCTGACGAGGATTTTTTTTGGAGGCTGACCCATCCCAAACAGTTCGAGAGATAGCAGAAGAGCTAGGCCTTGGCAAATCCACTGTTGCAGATGGTCTGGAAGCGCC